GGACTCGATCCCAGGACCCCGGGATCATGACCTGAGCCGAAGGCAGTCGCTTAACCAACTGAGCCACCCAGGCGTCCAGTTATTGTGAATTTCTTACTGCGCCTAATTTAGAAATTAAACTCATTCATATGTAGGTATAGGAAAAGACATAGTAAAACAGCGTATGTGGGGTTTGGTACTATCTGTGGTTTTAGGCAACCACTGGGGGGTCTTGGGACGTATCCCCCAAAGATAAGCAGGGGGCAAACTGTACTTAAGCCAACACACCCTGAAGAAAGTCTCTGCACATGCACACTGCGGCATAGGACATTCCTGGGAGTGGAAAGTATTCAGTGTTCCGACCCTGAGGAAGCTGCCAAACTGCATTCTGGAAGGACTTCGGTTAGCAGGCCAGAAAACCAGCCCAGAGCCCCGGGTGGGCAGGAAGGGGCGAACAGGTGCGTCTGGGAGGCGGGAGCCCAGGGGGGCACGCATCCACCCCCATCCCGGCCCCACTGCCCCACGGCTGTGGGCTCCTAACGCCCTTTCCGCAGACTTTACGATTTGGAGCGGACAGTGGAAATCGAGGCACACTCCCGGGAGCTGTGCCTGCTGTCTCCGGCTCGCCACACCTGCCTGGAGTGCACCGAGTCGGGCTGACTCCCTGGAGTCAGCCGAGGAGCCACCTGGTTGCCTCGGGGGCCAGAATCTACCACGAGAACAGGTGCCTCTGAGCTGGTGTCCGAGGCGGACGAGGAAAGGACTTCCTGAGTTTCGGTAGCAAACGGCCCTTCCCCTTCAGACAGCGACTTAGGTGGCTGGCCATTTATGTGGCTGGCGGGGGCCCAGGAGGGTGCGGGGCCCAGGGGCCGGGGCGGGGCCTGGAAGCCTCACCCAACAGCCTGCCGTCCGAGGCCACTGCTCTACCTCTGTCCTGTTCTCCCTAAAACGAGGGCCCTCAACCTGGTCCATCACCAATGGCTTACATATTGGCATTTTTCAGAAGTACACTTCTGTAATCAGAAAAATAAAGATACTACAATAAAAACAACCCAGCACCATTACAATTTGGAGGCACTAGATTCACGGAAGCTAGTAAGGCTGCAGTGGACGAGGCCCAGGGTGTATTCCAGAGACCAACAGGAATGGTTCCGGGAAGGCTGTTTTGGGCCCTTTCTGCACGGCTGCCGATTTCCCGAGACAACTTAGTTTATGGGGCCGGGCCTTCAGGCTGGTGGGAAGGCCAGACTCTCGAGCGTGTTCGATCGGTCCTTCACCTCGGCGTGGATTCTCCCAGAGCTTTGAGGTGTAGGCATGGCGGCAGACTCCAATTCCAGCTCGGCTGCTTATAGGGGAAAGCATTTCCCCGTCTGAGCCTCAGTCTCCACTAGCAGACGGGTCGCAGGCGCTGCTTTGCGGGGAGGCTGGATGAGAAACGTGGATGACCCACCTGGTCCAGTGCTCAGTAAGTTGGGGTCGTTTTCACCTTGGTCCTGCACTGCACAAGCTGCAGACGGGGGTCATTTCAGGGGTCACACCTTTCCAGTCACAGTTAGGTGGGGAAAGTTCAATTTCTCATCACCTGAACTCTGCTAGCCTGAGCGGGCCATTGAGACACCTGGAAAACTCCCTCACGGGTTCTGCTCGGGAATTTCTCACTGCCATCCGGCCTGGCCGCAACCTTCTGCCCAGAGCCTGTTACAAATGGGGCTGCTCAGGCTCAGCGGTTAAGGCGCAGGACCCGAGCCAGGTCTGACCTTGGTACAATCCACCCAAATAGCTTTTGGTCTTGGCACACACGGGAGTTACCTGTGGAAAGATTAAAATCCACAAATCCGTCTAAAATCCGGAATCTCTAAGGAACTCCTATAGCTCAGCAACAAAACCCACTTGAAAAATGGGCTAAAGGGCGCCTGGGTGGCTCAGATGGTTAAGCGTCTGCCTTCGGCTCAGGTCATGATCCCGGCGTCCTGGGATCGAGTCCCGCATCAGGCTCCCTGCTCAGCGGGGAGCCTGCTTCTCCCTCTGCCTCTCTCTCTCTCTCCCATGAATAAATAAAAAAAAAAAAAAAGAAAGAAAAATGGGCTAAAGACTCGAACAGACATTTCTCCAAAGATACGCAAGTGGCCCACAGGCACGTGAAAAGATGCTCGGCATCCATGGTCATTAGGAAGATGAGAGTCAGAACCACAATGAGAGAACACTTCACACTCCTTAGGATGGCCATAATAAAAATAAATAAAGGAAAATACACATTGGCGAGGAGGTGGAGAGCCCTCGTGTGTTGCCGGTGGGAACGAGAAACAGGGCAGCTGCTGGGGAAAACAGGTCACCCAGAATTCCCATAAGAGCCGGCAGACCTGGTCCCAAGTATGTACCCCCAAAAATTGAAGACAGGTGTTCAAATCTTGTACGTGAGTTTCTATGAGCACCGTTCCCAACAGCCAAAATGTGGGAACAACGCAAATGCCCATCAGCTGACCGGATGGACATGATGTGGTTCATCCACAGGATGGAGTATCGCTCAGTCACACAGACGAATCACATGCTGACGCGTGCTCATGGGTGAGCCTTGCAGACGATACGCGAAGGCAGAGAAGCCAGACGGCAGGTCACAGGCTCTGTGATTCCATTTACAGGGACTGTTCCAAAGAGGTAAAGCCACCAAGACAGAAAGCAGACTGGTGGCTGCCAAGGGCTGGGGGGCTGGGGACGAAAACACAAAGGCAGGGCCGTGACCCACCCCACTGTTCAGATGCTCCAAGAGCAACTGGTGTAACTGGAGGGTACGGAGCCAGGAGTCCAAGAGTGAGGACTGTTCATTTCTTCCCCAGCCAGCAACGCAACTCCTGGCAACTCACACCCATTCCTGCTTATCTCCTAACCAGCAAAATAAAGCCACATGGTTACGTATCATTCACAGGGTTTTGTAAAGACACACAAGGGACGAGGCCACCCCTGCACAGAGTGGAAGCATTCTGCATCTCGTATGGCCTCTCCGCTCTGCTCTGCGGGGCAAGCTGTTTGTGGGGCTGGGAGGAGAGGCCAAGAGGGCCAGAGGTCGGTGAGAGGTCCCTCGAGCCCTGGCTGGGGTCCGAGGCCGCCGCTTCTGCCATCATCGGTCACCAGTGCACCACACCCACCAGAGCAGAGGGACAGGATTCTTTATTAAGGCACAGGAGCCATGGGGTGTCCCGGCCGCAGCGGCGTCCCGATAAAGACAAAGCTTCTTCGATGGACACAATTTTAGAACAAGAGCCACGTTCTTGCATTACACCCTCCTTTCTCAGAACGTCCGCGAGCGGAGCCCTGTCCAGGCTGCCCGGAGCCTGGAACAGGAGTGCCGGTCCCTCGAGGGGACTTTCCGGAAGGGAAGAAAGCCCCGGAGGCCACAGCGCAGGATGCGCCCACCCCGCTGCTAAATGCTCCGCAGCACCAGCAGTGAGAAGCCCCAGGCCGGGGGTTACTATCCGCCCGAGATGGACTTCTCCAGAAAGCGGTCTGGATCCTGACTCCCGAGCACAGCTAGGCCAGGCTCCAGAAGCCACCGCTTTCCTCAAGGCCTCCACAGGGCGGGGAAGGTCCTAGTGAAAAGGGCTTATTCCCGAGAGGAAAGGGGCAGGTCTGAGGAAGCAGCCCTCCCTCCACTCCCCTGCCTCATCTGTTCTGGGGACAGAAGGGACGGGTGTGTCCGGGCTGGTGGCAAAGGCTGCATTTCCGGGGTTTCTTGGGCGTGGACCCCGTGTCTGTGGAACTGGCCCGGGCTCTTTTGCTTCTGGCCTCTGGCCCCTGGGCTCTTTCTCTGCCTGTTGGCCAGGTCAGGGCTCCGAAAGTCCCTGTGGGAAGAATTAGGGGAAGGCTGAGTTCGGAACGGACACACTGAAGAGGCAGGAAGTCCAGGTCCGAGTGTCTGGTGCAGGGTGTCCCCCCAGCCTTGCATGGCTGCGTCCACCCCCAGGCCAGGCTCCCTTCCCTCCTGTCATCTTCAGTGGCCCCAACGCCACTCCCTGAAGAACCCGGAGCCCTTGAAGGCCTTGGCCCACAATCACTATCCTGATGAAGAGGGCACGGTTGTCACTTCACGCACGTCCTCTTTCCGGAAGCAGAGGTCCAGCCAACGGGCCTGAGGCTGCTGGAGAAGTAGTGAAACCCGGCAGGCCCGTGACCAACCACCTGCTCCCCACCTCCCATGCAAGTTAACTGAGTTCTGGATTCTTCCACGCCTCAAACAGGCCTCTTAATTCTGACTGCCCTGGCGCCCAGGACAACTGATCAGCTGGCCTGGAGGTCAGACAGCGCTTCCTTCCAACAGGGCGACAAGGGAGCCTTGCACGCCCGAACCACCGCTCCTCACACACTTCCAACGCGAGCCTGTCGCTGCACTGGCTGTCTCCGGCCCCCCTCCGCCACCGGCAGCCAGCCCGGCGCCTTACCGAGCCTTCTGGGTTCTTCCTGTACGTGCGAGCTGGCAACCCCGTGTGTCAGAATCATAGCCTGAGACCACCTAACTCTTTTATAAGACAGGAACCCCAAGGAAGGCGGACAAGCGCCCATCTTACTGAGGAAACCATGAGGCTGTGAGGCCAAGCCCTCTGCTCGAGGTTCCACAGGCAGGCTCGGGGCCCGGCTCTGCCCGACAACAGAGCTCCCACCAGGCCTTTCGGCCATGCTCACACATGAGCTAAGCTTCTGCTGGGCACTGGGGCGGGCGGGGGCCGTTTTCGGGGGCCTCCGGGGGCATTATCCACCCGGCTCCAATGTCTGGGGGGCGATTCTCACCACACCCGGTTTCGGGGCACCGGGCCCAAGCCGTGTAAGCCTGAGCGGGTTCCTAGACATCCCCAGGGGGGGCCAGGCTCCGCATCTGAAGGAAGGCGGCCGATGACGAGGACCTCGCGAGCCTATGGAGGCTAGAGGAGCCCCGGGCTGTGGGGTCAGGCCGACCTCGGGCCGCGTGGCCGTGTGACCCCGAGCAGGGGCAGCTCATTTACCCTGGGCCTCCGCGGCCTCACAGGGCCGAGCCGACAGACGTGACGACAGCTGGTATACTTGGCACAGCGCCGGGCACGCGGCGGGCCGCTCCGAGAGCCGCACCAGCCTTTCCTCTGGAACCTCCAGCCCCACCGCTGCCCTCGTCCCTCCCTCCGCCGCCCCGGGTCTCCGAGGTGGAGACCACCAAGCAAACCCGAGCCTGGGCACCCCGCCTCACCTGGGGCCACGTTCTCGTCCACCCACTGGAAGAAGCCGCACTGCTGCTCTCTGGGCTTGGCGCACGTGTGGAACCGGCGGCCCTTGTTGGGCCCGTCCTTCTGCACAGTGCGGGTGACGGTGGGCTGGCTACACAGGCAGGACATGCCCGCGCCGCCGTCCTCATCTCCGGGTCGGCCGGACCCGCCCCGGCGGTCCCCTGTGGCGGGCGGGCGGCCCAGCAAGCCGCCGGTGGGTCTCGCCGTGCAGGAGGGCGGCCCCCCGGCTTCCGAGGGGCTGCTGTCGGCCCACAGGAAGAAGCTGCAGCCGCCGCCGTGACACTTATAGAACGGGCGGCCCTGGTTGGGGCCCTCCTTCCGCACGGTGAGCAGCACGGCCTCCTGGCCGCAGTTGCAGGTCACCGAGTTGCTGCCCTCGGCGGCGGCGGGGGGTGGGGGCAGCACCCGGGGGGCGCTGGCCATTCTATTCAGGGACTGGCTAGCCTGCAGGTAGTTAGAGGGCTGGCTGGCTGGCTGGGGAGCTCTGGGGGCGCCCCGTGAGAACCTCAGGTCCAAGATCTCCCGCAGTGTCTCGTCACATCCGCCGATGCAGCCGACAAACTCCAGGGGCATGGTCGGGGGAAGGCTGCCGCGTTTAAACTTTAACTTCAACCTAGCGAGGCCAGGAGATGCGAGAAAGCCTTACTACCAGCTGCAAGCGTCTCCTCCTTGTCCGCAGAGGGCTGCGCCCACCCCGGGCCTCCCCTTGGCACCCCCGCACCCCAGCACCTGCCAGCCACAAGCCCCTCTGGGTGTCATGAGAGCTCAGAGTGGGAGACAGAAGAAATCTGAAGCCCCGGTTAATCTCCCAAACACAGAAGCTGCGCGGTGCTTGGGTGGCTCAGTTGGTTAAGGGTCTGCCTTCGGCTCAGGTCATGATCCCCCAGGGTCCTGGGATCGAGTCCCGCATCGGGCTCCCTGCTCAGGGGGGAGCCTGCTTTTCCCTCTCCCTCTGCCCCTCCCCTCTGCTCATGCTCTCACTCTCTCTCAAATAAATAAAACCTTAAAAAACAAAAAACACAGAAACCTCGGAAAGGTTCACTTCCTATAACCAGTGGTTCTTGGGCCCCTGGACGCTGCTGGTGAGGTCAGGACTATTTCGTAACAAGGCTAGGAAGTTACGTCTGTTGTGCTCTCGTCCTCCCATGCCATATGCATGAGCTTGCCGGAGGCTAGAGCCCACATGACCAGCCCAGTGGACTGACTGGGAGCACACACCAGAGTCCAACTCTGTCGAGCCAGATGTTAGACTCACAAAAATGGAAAACGATGCATTTTCTTTCTCCGTTTTCTGCTTTGCAAATAGGCATTTTCTTCTTACCTTTTTGCTTTAGAAATACGTAAAAATATGCTATTTATCTTAGTATGCAGTGTACCTATTCTAAAATTAACAAGTACATTTTTAAAACGTCTCCACTTCAATTCAGAATATGGTAGTATTGATAAACTTAACCCACAATGAAAGCTCTCTGGGTGCCTTCCTCAATGATTTTTATTTTTATTTTTTTTTAAAGATTTTATTTATTTATTTGACAGAGAGAGAGATAGCGAGAGCAGGAACACAAGCAGGGGCAGTGGGAGAGGGAGAAGCAGGCTTCCCGCTGAGCAGGGAGCCCGATGTGGGGCTCGATCCCAGGACCCTGGGATCACGACCTGAGCCGAAGGCAGACGCTTAATGACTGAGCCACCCAGGCGCCACCCCTCAATGATTTTTAAGAGTGTAGGGGTCCTCTGACCAAAAGGTTTGAGGACCAGTTCTACCCAAGGGCTCTGGGCTTTTGGGAGGAGCCTGGAAACACTATCCGACACCGGAATATTCACTTCCCCAACTCGGCTGGGCAGCAATCTAGCAATCTAGCTGGAACGGGCAGGGAAAGGGTGCCCTCGTGGTTCTTCAGGTGCATGGAGGGCTCCTCCCGAGCTGCCCCGGGACCTGCCCCCAGGCCCATGGCTTCCACACCACAAAGGCAAGGGTGGGACACAAGCCGACTCAGGACCACCAACCCAGCTGCTGCTGAGCGCGGCGAGCACGCCCCAGCCTCGCAGGGGCCCAGCTCACCTGTAAACAGGGTGCGGCTGACACACTGGACACACACTCTCGTCCCTGCTGGCCTCCAGCACAGAGTCCGGGAACCACATGGCCGATCGGCATTCTGGGAAGCCCGTGCAGCTGAGGTAGAACCTGGAGAGGGAGCACAGGGAGCAGGGTCGGGCAGAAGCCACCAGACTGCAGGAAATACACATTCCTGGGCTGTCGCCCATCTGGCAAAGAAGATTTTCTCCGGCTGATTAAAAGGAGACATTCACTTTTCTGGAGGACACATAAATGGATACGCAGTCGCTGGTACTGAATGACTGAGAAAAACTGGCCTGCATTTATTTCTCATCTCCCTAAGAAAAAGAAACTGCTCTTGCTGACTCCGCTTTCTACCTAGAAACCACCAACCCACTGACCAACTCCTGGGCCACGGCAAGGCCCAGTCCCGAGGGCTCTGCTCAGGCTCCAGGCCACGTGCTCTCAGATGCTCCCTGACTTCTCCACATGACAACCCCGATGGGGACCAGCAGCACCCTCAGTTCACAGTGGGGCAAACAGGCGGGGGGCGGTCTGGAAACCTGCCCAAGGATGCACGTGCAGTAAGCAGGGGCGCTGGGAATAGAGCCCTAGCTGTCTGATGGAAGAGTCTTTATTCCTGACACCGGCACTGCGTCGTCGGCCAACAGTTCTTTGCGGCTTCCAGTCACGAAACTTTAGAGCCAGAAAAGCCAATGGGAACACAATTTACAAAGTCCTCTGAGCATGCCTGGCTATGACGTCCTCTGAGCATGCCCGGGTATGGCTGGATCAGGGGAAAGCCACCCAACAAAACCTCAAAGCCCAATTATTCAAAGAGCAAACCTACAAACTCAGAAATGGAAACTGGCAGATACCCCTCGGAGCGGTAAATCCCACAGGACGATCTCCAGACCTCCCCGGCTGACCCAAGCACTTGGAGCATTTACGAGTATCCTGCACTGGGCTAAGCCCACCCTGGCACTGCCTTTTGTGTTTGTGGGCATCCCGAGTCCCAGGTCAGGCCCATTAACCTCTGGTTTTTGAGAGCCAGGCTGGCCTTCTCTGTGCCCAGGCCAGTGATGGGTCAGTAGTCGGGGAACCCAAGGGGGTCGGAGGAATGAAGGACCTGGGATCAAATTCTGCTCTTCCTGACCCCCAGGGCTGGATTTTGGAGACATTTCACCAAATCCTCACCCTTCCCATGGTAGACACCACTGACCTAGGCTTATGGAAAAGAAAATTGGGGCTCAGTAGCTAACGTAACCTGCTTTGGGGCACAAAACTTGTGTATGTGGCAGAAGTGGGATCTGAACTCAGACCCAGCTGGTTCCTCAGCTCCTCCTTCCCCACCATCATCCACACGGTGGGTGGGCGATGTCCTATCCACAAGGGACACGGCGGCGCCATCATCCCCCACCTCCTCTGAATCCCAGAGCACTTCACGTCTCCAAGGCCAGGTCCCTGTCAGCTACCCTTCTATCTCCAATACCTAGTCCACGGGCCGGCAACGGTAGGACCGCCTTTAAATAATGACACAGAAATGAAATGACAGGGCCTCTCAGAGAGTGTCCAGCCAACCCAGCAAGTGCTGGGCAAGCAGATGTATGGCACTGACCCGCCATTCTTCTTGGTCTTGAGGACCATGTCCTTGTTGCACTGTGGACACTTCATGATGGGCTCTGGCATGCTCGGGTAGATGGCTTCTTGCTGGGCCACCTCTGCCCCTTCCCCAAAGTACTGGGCTAACGCCTCATCCAATCTGAAGAAAGAGCAAAACATTCACAATATTCTTTGTTTTGTTTTTTTTTTTTAAGATTTTATTTATTGGGATGCCTGGGTGGCTCAGTCGGTTAAGTGTTTGCCTTCGGCTCAGGTCATGATCTCAGGGTCCTGGGATTATGACCCGAGGCGAAGGCAGATGCTTAACTGACTGAGCCACCCAGGTACCCCTACGATATTTTAATTTAATTTAATTTATTTATTTGACACAGAGAGAGCAAGAGAGAGACAGAGAGCAAGCACAAGCAGGGGGAATGGCAGGCAGGGGAGAAGCAGGCTTCCTGCTGAGCAAGGAGCCTGATGCGGAACTCGATCCCAGGACCCCGGGATCATGACCCGAGCCGAAGGCAGCCGCCCAACTGACCGAGCCACCCAGGCGCACCCCCTACAATATTCTTATGTGCATACCAGGTGAATTTGACCAGGGCGGAGGGGGCTGCTCACCACAGGCCTGATGCAGAGAACAGAGGTTGGCCAAGCAGCCCTGGCTCCTCTCTGGCTCCCAGCAGCTCCCAGGAGGGATCCAGCTACAGGTAGGTACTTTTGCCTTGTCACTGGCCTCACATCAAACTGCACAGGGTCCCTGCACGCACTCCAGAAATGCCTGTCTGGGTTTACATTTAAACTAGCTCATCCGTTCCCCACCCTGGCCTTTTTTTTAAAGATTTTATTTTGGGGGACACCTGGGTGGCTCAGTCGGTTGAGCGTCTGACTCTTGATTTCGGCTCAGGTCATGATCTCAGGGTTGTGGGATTGAGCCCCGTGTCAGGTTCTGCGCTCAGCACGGAATCTGCTTGAAATTCTCTCTCCTTCTGTCTCTCCCCCAACTTGCATGCGTGCTCGAGCACACTCTCTCTCTAAAAATAAATTTAAGTAATCTCTACACCCAACACGGGGCTTGAACTCAATCCCGAGATCTAGAGTCACATGCTCTACTGACTAAAGCCAGCCAGGCGCCCCGGCTCATCCATTTCTTTCCCTAGTTGGCACGGGGCAGAAAAGGTGTATTTCCCCAACAACATGCCCACATACTGCTTGCTACGTGACCACCTCCAAATACTCCATAGAACAAATGTGTCAGACAGCAGCACTGAATTTACGGCTCAGGACTGTGTGCCTGTTAACTTGAGACAGAATTAAAATCCAGAGAATGGCATCTCTAAAGCCAACAGCCTGAAATAACTGGCCCAGATTTTTCTGCTTACTGTTTCTGGGCTGACAAAGCTCTACAGAAGGAACAGAACTCAGGAGGAAAACCCGAAGGGGGAGCAGCTGCACGTGGGCACCCAAGCACGACAGCCCTGCAGAAGGCGAACTGGCCTGGGGGACGTTGAAGCACCCACGGGCACACGTGACGAGGAGCGAGGAGGCGCATCCCCCGCTTTCTGCTGAATCTTCCCCCGCTCTCACTGCTCAGGGCAAGGGCACAGCCCAGGAGGCAGAGCTAAATGACCTCACGCGCAGGCAAGTAGGGTCTGGACTCACTTCTTAGCTTTGGCCACCGCTTCAATGAAAACCTCCTTGTATTTCTGGACTTGCTGCCTTAGAACCACCCACTTGTCCTTCTTGCCTTCACAGATCAGCTTCAGGTCAGCTTCCAGCTCGGCCCGAAGGTCAGGCTTGGACATCTCATAGCCCATGGAGTCATAACCTGCAGGGAGAAGAGCAGTGTTCCGCGGGGCCCCACGCGGCTCCCCCGGGGGCTTCAGCCGCCTGGCTCTGCAACCACCCACCTCAAACTCCTCCTGCTTACCTTCCACGAGCCCCATGCCCAGATGCCCTGGGAGGAACCGCTTGTCTGCCGTGAGCCCGACGTACATCCGGGCTTTGATTGTCTCGATGTGCTCCGCGTGGGTGGCATCGGTCCCTGAAAGCCACTTCCATTACTCAGCGTGATGCAGACACCCCCCTCCCCGCTGTCCCACAGGCACCTTCCTCTGCCTGGACTCCTCATTCTCGGTAAGACACCTCCACTTGCATCAGGCCCACTCCAGCTCTGAGACACCTCTAAGTCTTTCTCCTCCGCTCCACGTGGCAAAGCCACGGCTGGAACCCACATCACGTCCTCGGCATCAGGACAATGTGCTCAGTCTCCACCTTTCTGGTCGCATCCTCCACCCAACCCATTTCTTATGCTGTGGCCAAAGGGATCTTTGCAAATGGAGCTCTGTCATCAAGGAGATGCAACTCAAAAGCACAAAGAAACACCACACTTCACACCCACTTGGTGTGAAGCATCACCGAAAAGCACAGAGAACAAATGTTGGCGAGAACTCGGAGAAACCTGAACCCTCACACGTGGCCGGTGGAACGCGAAATGGGGCAGCCGCCATGGAGGTCGGTCCAGAGGTTCCTCAGAAGGTAAACACAAGAGCGACCATCAGACCCGGCAATTCTACTCCTAGGTATCTACGCAGGGGAACCGCAAACCCGTCCACACACAAACCTATGCACAAATGTGCGCTGCGACATTATTCACAATTGCCCCAAACCAGAAATGCCCTGAATTCCACCAACGGATGAATGGATAAACTGTGGTCTCTGCACACAGTGGAACAGTACAGGGAATGGAAAGGAAGCAAGTACTGATTCGCGCTACAATGTGGACGAGCCGTGAGAACTCGCGAAGTGAAAGAAGACAGTTACAAAAGGCCACTCGCTTTATCATTCTACGTATACAAACTGTGTAAAACATGCAAATCTACTGAGTCAGAAAGATGAGTGGTTGCCCAGTCCTGGAGGGATGGAGGGGAGGGGGAATGGAGTGAGACTGCTAAGGGGTATGGCATTGCTTTCGGAGGCGATGAAAACGTTCTAGAATTAAGTAAGGTGATACTTGCCTGATTTTGTGACTACACTGAGTATCTTAAATCAGTATGTGAATTATGTCTCAACAACGCCGCTAACGTTTTTCAGAAATGCAGCTCTCTTTGCTCCTTTCCTCAGAAATCTTAAACGGCTCTCTGCGAGCCACAGGCCCACACCCAAGCCCCTCAGGCCAGCGTGCCAAGCCCTGCAGTTGGGCTCCAATCATCTTTCCAGCCTCACCTTCCGTGACCACCCCGTCTGCTCCCCGCCACAGGGCCACGTGCTCTCCGGGCCCTTTGTGCTCCCTCATGCTCTGCCTGGGCCGGGCTTGCTTCACTCCCCGGGAACTCTTACTGTAAGGTTTTACGGTCCCTGCCCGATCTCTGCAGAGCCAACAGGCTGTGTTTGTGTGTTGCTTTGATTTGTTTCTCCTGCTAGACGAGCCCTCGACGGGCACGGGATGCCTAGGCCTTATTCCTCACTGTGTCCCCGGGGCCAAGACCAAGGTCTGGCTCTCGTGAGCGTCACATTTGTAATGAGTACATCCTGAGCGGTACACGAACTCTAATTTGACTTAAGCCGACAGGCTTTCTGGATAGCATGACAACGGCCAGTGGACTCCAAGAGGGGCCCTTCTTCCGAAGTCACAGAACTACAAAAGCCACTGGGTAGTGAGGTGGCCGCGTGGGGCACGGCCTGCTGCCGGAACACGCCCAGGGAGCTCTACTTCTCCTTCCTGCCACTTCTCTCTCCACCACGCCACTGCCCTTCTGAACTGGGTTTGCCAGAGACGATCCCCAGAGTCGTGATGAAACAGACGAGGGGGCAGCAGACCTGCCTGTCAACCCGTGGCCACGGAACCTATTGGGAAAACCAATTCTGGCCTAATTTCTTGTTTAACCTCATTTCGGTTCCTAAACAATTAGGGGAAACGCTGTAACGAAAACTCCGAGCACGGCCAGCTGTGGCTACCTGCAGGGTGACCAACCCAGACGCCGCCGGGGCCTGGCATGGAACGACTGGTGAGCAAAGCCAAGTGAGAAGAGGCAGCTGCCTTCCCAGTTCAACCAACTGCTTCCACCTGGGAGGGAAGGCTTGGGCTGCCAGACCTCCCGACACTTCTCAAGACGAAGACACAGACGTTTATGTGGAATCTCTCAACTTTTGAATGTTGGTACCTTATTCGAGATAAAAACAAACCCCTGTGTGGGCCAAAAATCCTGAGTCCATGGCCAGGACCTGGCCAGGGTGCTCCCAGTCCAGCCCCCCCCCCCCCCACCAAGTTCTGGGACATATCCATGTCCTGATCCAGCTGGGGTGGAGCAGAGGTTAAGAGCCTAAGTGTGGACTTACTCAGACCAAGGTTTTAATAACTCGCACAACAGAGCACCTGGGTGGCTCAGTGGGTTGAGTTTGGCTCAGGTCGTGATCTCTGGGTCATGGCATAGAGCCCCGCGTGGGGCTCCGTGCTGAGTGGAGTCTGCTTGGGATTCTCTCCCTCTGCCCCCTGCCCCCCCCCACTCTCTCTAAAATACATAAAATAAATCTTAAAAAAACAAACCAAAAAAACAAAAAACCTCGCACACCTCGTGGCCTCAGGCATGTTCTGAACTTCTCTATGCCTCCCTTCAGCTATAAAGGGGATCAAGAAGAGGACACCCACGGCAGAGCTGTCACGAAGACCAGAAGACGTACAAGAGCTGCTGGTTACCACGACGACAGGCTACTGACCAATGCCGTGCTTTTCCATGAGGGCGATGAGGTCGGCTTCGGTGAGCAGCTGGGGTGGGCTGGTCTCCCCGTCCACCATCTCCACAGTGCTGGGCTGGAAGCAGGCGCCTCTCTCGTAGACAGGGAGGGTCTACAGGGAGGAGCAGAAGCATCGGTCCGATCACTCCACGCGGCACTGAGGCAAAAGACAACTGCCATTTTGAAGCGCTTGGCCCTGTTCCGTCGAACGGCATGAGGGTCGGGAACACGACTGTCTTCCCCTCTCCCCGAGGCTCACGGAGAACGTGAACTCTGACCTCTGACTGGGCCTGCGCTTTATTACCTTGTCACTCCAGTGGTCATATGGGTACACGTCCAGATAGTTTCGGGCCAAAATCATGAGGCCGTGGGCCACGAAGCGTTCCTGCGCAATGTCGATCTCCACGGTGGTCTCCTGTCCCTGAGCATCCTGGGAGCAACAAGCCAGGAAATGCCGCACGATGAACTCGTACAGTCGCTGCTCATCTCCCTAGGAAGACAAGAGAAGAGTCTGCAACTCCCTGCAGAATATTACCGCCCAAGGACCGCAGCCTCACCGAAGTCTGACCTGGTTTAGGCCACCTTTCAGCCTCGAGTTCTGCACAGAAGAGGGCACGTGGCTCCTGTAGGTTCTGCACCCGCACGAAGTGCCAGGCAAACATGCCCGATGTTTTCTGACGTAAACCCAGCCGAAGGAGAAAACAAGGTAAAAGCGTAACAGCTAACAAGAGACCCCTTGTGTACAAGACACGGAAAGCTGTAGCCAGCAGCCCCGGCTCCCAGGGTTTGCGGTGATTTTCTACCAGGTAAGTAATCAAGGGTCTACTGAGCCTCGATCTGTCAAAAGCCCCTAAGACACTCATACTCACGGCCAGTAATTCTCCTTCTAAGAACGGATCCCAAGGAAATAATGGGAGGTCCACACAGACACAGACACAAACGTTAACTGTCACCACGTCTCAGAAAGTTGGGGGCAATTTATTCTTTTTTTTTTATTTTTAAAGATTTTATTTATTTATTCATGAGAGACAGAGAGAGAGAGAGAAGCAGAGGGAAAAGCAGGCTCCCAAGGAGCAGGGAGCCCAATGCAGGACTCGATCCCAGGACCCCGGGATCATGACCTGAGCCGAAGGCAG